TTTGGAGAGACATCAATTTGACAGGAGGACCACTTGGTGGATAAAGAACTGGCTGAATGGCTGCACACAAGGAGTTGCGGTCAATGGCTCAGTGTCCGGCTGCTGACGAGTAACGAGTGGTGTCCCTCAGGGATCAGTGTTGGGACCGGTCTACTTCAACATCTTTGTAGGTGACACGGACAGTGGGATTGAGTGGGCCCTCAGCAAGTTTGCCGATGACACCAAGCTGTGTGGCTCGGTTGATATGCTGGAGGGAAGGAATGCCATCCAGAGGGACCTTGACACGCTTGTGAGGTGGGCTGATGCTAACTTCATGAAGTTTAACTATGCCAAGTGCAAGGTACTGCACCTGGGTTGGAGCAATCCCAGGCACAACTACAGGTTGGGCAGAGAAGAGATTCAGAGCAGCCCTGAGGAGAAGGACTTGGGGGTGCTGGTCAATGAGAAAATGAACATGAGCCGGCTTCAGTATGCGCTCGCAGCCCAGAAAGCCAACCAGATCCTGGTCTGCATCAAAAGGAGTGTGACCAGCAGGTCGAAGGAGGTGATCCTGCCCCTCTACTCTGCTCTTGTGAGACCTCACCTGGAGTATTGTGTGCAGTTCTGGTGTCCTCAACATAAAAAGGACATGGAACTGTTGGAACAAGTCCAGAGGAGGGCCACGAGGATGATCAGGGGACTGGAGCACCTCCCGTATGAAGACAGGCTGAGGAAGTTGGGGCTGTTCAGCCTGGAGAAGAGAAGGCTGTGTGGAGACCTCATAGCAGCCTTCCCGTATCTGAAAGGAGGCTATAGGGATGCTGGGATTGGACTCTTCATTAGGGACTGTAGTGATAGGACAAGGGGTAATGGGTTAAAACTTAAACAGGGGAAGTTTAGATTGGATATAAGGAAGAAGTTCTTTACTGTAAGGGTGGTGAAGCACTGGAATGGGTTGCCTGGGGAAGTTGTGAATGCTCCATCCCTGGCAGTGTTCAAGGCCAGGTTGGACAGAGCCTTGTGTGGCATGGTTTAATGTGAGGTGTCCCTGCCCATGGCAGGTGGATTGGAACTAGATGATCTTAAGGTCCTTTCCAACCCTTACTCTATGATTCTATGTTTCTATGACCTTGCTGCTTTGCCACCAGTTTTCAGCAGTTTATCTGGAAAAGGTTATGTAGAAATGCTGCTATGCAGCCTAGTCTGAAATTCCTTCTACCTTGATTTTCTTGAGTAATTTTCTTTAGTATGATCTGTGACATTTTTAGGTAGGTACACCTCTTGGCGGTGTAGCTGATTGCTACAGCTCTCCTTTGCTGGCTGTCCAAATGTGTGACAGAACTCACCAGCCCTGGCACTAGCTGTGTACTAACATGATTAGAGACTCTCAAACTGTATAATCATTTTAGCATGCTGCCAGGGCTGCTATGCTCTGCCATATGAAGAGGCTTCTGATTTGATGACATTAAAGATAGGCAATTCATTGCCTCTTGAGGCTTTGTTCCATTCCTTAACCACCTTCGCTGTTAGAAATATGCATCTTGTTTTTAATGTAAAGTAATCTGCTTTCACTTTTGGCCATTTTTTGCTTTGCTTAAGTATTTCAGTGTCTGAGATTCTTCCTGTACTTCAATGCTGTAATCAGGTGTCCTCTCAGTGGTTTCGGTTTTGGTTTGTTTTTATTGTGGTTTTGTTTTTTTTTTTTTGGAGGGGGGCTGGGGGGTACAGTACGACAGATAGATGTACGGATATGGAGGTGTTAAAAATGCATAGACTGAGCTCATTCAGTTTTTATGGGGTATTTTCTTCAAACCGCAATTTTTGAGGCCATTTGAGAAACATTTCTAACATCCTTTATATATGGGGGTTTGGTAACTCTAGGGATGTATTCAGACATAAAATGACTTATTTTCTATTTTATTGTTTAAAGATAGATGAAGCCTATTGCAGGGGAAGTATGCCCATTTTGGAGATACACTCACCATAAATAGGCAAGGTCAAATTTTCAGAAGATCTATTTTACATACCTGTTTCAGAATCATGCTTCTGTGTCTAGGACTAAATGGTCTCTGGGCTGGAGCACTGAAGAAGTTTACATGTAAAATTTCTCATTTGCTGTCAAGAATATCCTAGCATCTCTGGAATATGAAATTATCAGTATGACTGGAAAGTAAAAAATGTAGCATGTATATAAGTCTGCATTTAAGAGGACAAAAACCTGATTTACCAGCTACAGACTTGTTAATATAACCTTAACGATAGACAACATTTGGAACGGTTACAGAAGTGAAGAAGAGCTTGAGATGTGAAAGTAAATAAAAATGAGGTAATATACAATATGGTTTTACCAAGTTCAGAATCTGTGAGGCTAATGTGATACTTTCCTAAGAGAAGATAACTGATTTTCCAGACAAGTGAACTGCAGCAGATCTCGTCTATCTAGAATACAATGCAGTCTTTGAATATAGTGCCTCATAAGAGGTTATTAGTTCAACAGCAGAAACTAAGGATTAATACAAATACTATTATGTGTGTAAAGATCTGGATAAAAAAAGGCTATGTTGGGTGAAGCTGAAAGGAGAACTGGTGGATTGGAAGGAAGTCATTACACAGAAATTTCTCAAGGATCCAGCTTCAGACTGTTTTGTTTAATATTGTCATAAATAAAATGGGCAGAAGTAGACACATGCTAGCAAAAATGACTAAGGTCGCAAAATATCCTTAATGGAAAGGAAGATCAGAATTTAATTTGGTAGGAGAACTGAATGACCATGAGAACTGAGAGTAATAGTATTATTAGGAAAGAGTATTAATAGCACAGGGGGTGTGGTCATGAATTAGGGTCTGAGAGTTGGTAAGGTAATGGCTTTTTTTCTATACAAGACAGAGAATAAAATATGCACATATGTGGTCATGAAAAGAGCAAATGCTACCTTAACACATTTTGAGCAAAGTATTTCTAGTTGAGGTAGAGAGATACTTGTCTCATAAGGCCTCTGAGTGTTAGTGCTCAGCACTGAGAAAGATACATTTATAAAACTGGAAGTGGTGGAAAGAAAGATTGTCAAATGTTTGTAAGCTATTCTCTGAGGAGAAGCTGGAAAAAGAGGCTCAGTTACTTAGCCTTGCAAAATGGAGATTGAAAAAGATATAGTTAATCACCAGCAGGGGGAATGGAGAAGATGTATTTGAGTTAAATTAATGTTGGCACAAGGACATAAATTAATTTAAATGGGAAATTAGAAGAAACCTGGAGTTTTCTTAAACTGTGAATGCTGTGAAAATTTGAAAAGGCCTTCTAATAGAAAGAAGGCTGTTTTCAGAGGAACTGTAGCAGGTTATAAAAAAGATTGTGTTGCAACTTGTCTTCATTAGTAGATAAAGACTGGAGTTGATGATCCAGGAGGTATCTCAAGCATGGTGCTGTGTTCACTACCTTCCATTTTGGTGCTTATTGCCCTTATTTTCAGAAGAGCTCAAGATCTGACATGCTTTGCAGCCTGTTCTCTCAGGAAGTGTTGTAACTCTGACAATGACTTCAGTGCTCTTCATAGAATTAGGCTCAAAATTAGTTGTTTGGGTTCACACAAGAGGCATGCTGCAAAGCTAGGTTTTAAATGTAAACTTTCAAAGTCCTAGAAACATGTTTTAAGCATGCAACTATCCTTTCATCTTTGCACATTTCCCATTTCAGTCTTAACTGATCTATCATACAACTACTCTTCTGGCAGTAATCTAAATGGAAGATCAAGAGGATCTGTGTTTTGTCTGCTGTTGCTATGTAACAAAACCCATGGTACAAAAGTTACACAAAATGCATACCTGGTAATTGAAACACACATAGAATGCCAGGTTGGAAGGGACCTCAAGGATCACCTAGTCCAACCTCTAGGCAATGCATGACCTAGACTAGATGTCCCAGAGCCCTATCTAGACAAATCTTAAAAGCGTCCATACGAGATTTTGATGAGATATTTATGAGAAATGCTCAAATAGTGTAAAGCTATTGCATTTTGAAAACTGTGTAATTAATGTAGAGACTGATCCTATGCTGTTTGTCCTAAATATATACATATATTTACCTTAAACTCTTCATGTAGTTGAATATACTGTTCAGTTTCCAGGTTCTGTTATTTTTTATGTTTTCCCATTTTTCCAGATTCTGTATATTTTGCTTATATTGTAGATCACATGCTCATTTGGTCTTTTTGTTGTTATAGCATCGATGTGTTGGGCATTTTAGCAATATCTTGTGATGGTAATAATGGTAAAAATTTCGATTTAACTGAAATTAATCTTTCAATATCCTCAAAATTCTTGTTCTCTCCTAACGGAGTATAAATTTACGTCATTTAAGGATCCCTTGTTCTTTACTGTGTAATAAAACTTCTGTTTTTACCTCTATTTTTAATTTTCTGTTAGAAAAATTTCCAACTGATTATAAGCACCAAAGTTTTAAGGTAAAGAAATTTTTAATTACTGTGGCTTTATTGTTCATGGTAAATTGTTGGTGATCTAGTGAGACCCATTCTCCTTACCTGATTTACATATTAAGACCTATTTATGTTTTATATCATATGAGCTTCAAAATACCTGCAAGAAGGGCACAGGTGACTTCACTACTTTCAAACTCCTTACCTTCTTGGAGATTGGGAAAATCAGAGAAATACCGTGCATATTATTATTGTTACTAATAGTAGTTTATATTATCAGTGTGATGTATATACACACATTTTCTTTTTTTTTTTTTTGTTCTGCTGAAAATTGGAAAATATTTCAAGCAGGAACACGACTGTTTCAGCAAGCACGTTTCAGGGGAAACTGCTCTTTTTTGCACATAAAATGTACATTTTTTGACTGTTTTATTTTTGAAAAAATGTTCTTTTTTTTTTTGAAAAATGTTTCTCCATGTTGAGCTGTGCAAATCTCACATCCCTCTTAACACTGTTTTATTGGGAAAACTGATTATTTACTTCTGTTCTTTGCTTCCTAACTTAATACTAATTCTGTTCTTTACTATAGTTTCACCTATTGTGGACATGGATGAAATCAATTTAATCGCTACAGATTGCCCTGAAGCCTTTTTTAAAGATTGATTGTATCGTTTTCCATCCAGGGATCTGGTGCCAAGGAAGGTTGAGCAGAGAGGTTGCGCATTACTGTTTAAGTATTTTGTCCTGCATTGCCTACATCTGGAGGCAGTTACAATTAATTAATTTTTTTTCCCTACTCAGCTCTTCATCTGAAGCTTCAGTTTAACACGGAGCCTCTGATGAATACTCTATATAATATTTCACCCATAGAAACAACAAAGTCAAATGGCCATCGACAGCCAGTCAGCTGTGTAAGCTATCTGCAGAAATTTTCTATTAGAATGAAAATGATTACTTCAGTCTTATTACCAGATTAACATTTTTCTAACATCCCTCAAAGAAGAGACTTGAGAAGTAGAGGAAGCAGTTCTTCTTTCTGGATGTAATATAGTGGTGGCAGCATGTCTTAGCCTAAGACTTTCTGAAATACTTAAATCTGTGACCCCAGGCTCTGGTGTTGCAATTCTTTCTGATGGAATAATGCTGCTACAAATCCTAACCTGGAGCACTGTGACATGAAAACATACTCTTGTTATTTTTCCTGTACATGGCTAGGTGCAAAATGTGCAGATTTAGAACTTGTTTACAAATCCTTACTGAATACGCAGTTCGTTGACACCCAACTCTTTGAAATCTGGCTGCTCAAAGCATAAGACATATCCAACTTGTATTACATTGAAATAACTTTATTCTTTGGCCAAAAGAGAATTGTGACAAGTCAAATGCTTGAGTAAATCACATGCTTGAGCTGGCATAATGAGAAGAACATACTGATTGTCTCATGGTCATGGCGTTGGCAAGATGACAGTCTTACTCTCTTTCAATATTTGTTAATTTTTTGTGTGGCTTTTGTTTGCTTCTGGTCACCCAAACTGCCTAATTGTGTCTTTTGCATGTTAGTGAAGGTTTTCTGTGTTTCTATTTGGCAATATTTATTTTTTTTTTCTAAATCTACTTTTGAAAAAATACTGAAGCAAGAGATTGTCAAAGGTAGCCAAGATCTCCTTGAAATTATTAAAAAGTCCATTGAATTAGGCGAGCGCTTGCTTTTGATTTTCATTTGTGTATTTTAGAGGCATAATAAAATTTTCCTCAATACATGAATGGGCAGAAGAGGTCTTAAGCAGGTTGCAAACAGCAACTAAAACTTGCAGTGTATAGTTATACTGCACTATGCTCTGTTAGAAATCCAAATAGAACAAATGTAATCATAGAAGAATATCTATCTATGTGAGATACATAATGTATAACAAATATGTGCTACACCATGTGGTAAAAGTTTATGCCTAACATCTCTCACAGAGTGGTTTTACAAAGACACTGGCAAAAGACAAATAAGCACTGACAAGCCAGAGACCATATGGAGAAAGAAGCCATTAGAAGCTAAAATTGCATTTTCGGCCTCTCAGCTTCTGCTGACCCAATGACCCAATTTATTTTGGTTGGAATGTTATGCTGGTTAGCTGATGTTGCTTTGCAGATCTTCGCTTGGGTCAGGAAGTGCTGTAATTTAGAAGGCTTTTACCTCCTTTGTTATGGTAAAACAGAAGTATTGCCTTGTGAAACCACATTAGAAATTAGAAGATTAGAAAAGACTCATAATTGATGCTACTGCGTGACTGGCAATTGCTGATGGCTAGTTAGTTTGTGAAAAGTGACTGCTGAGTCCTATGAATATTCTCCTCTTTCTTAGTCTTGCCTGGTTTATCTAGTAACAGCAGGCTGTATGCTTCTTCTGAATGAGCCAAAAAATGCTGTTAGGAATGGTGCAAGAAATGCTTCCCCAGCGCTGCAATTAAATGCCGAGAGAGCTTTAATTCAAGGAGCTCTTGGGGTACCAGAGGCATAGTATCTTGTCCATGACTGCCTTTTGAGGCCAAATTAAAGATTTTTTTTGGCCAATATTCTTCAGTGAGATGGAGAATCTAATGGAAATAGCCCAGGAGTGCTGCAGGAGTATCTGGAGGGTATGTGGAAAAGATATTACCCTTCCCTGGCAGGAGAGGCTGCTGCTGCTGCTTTCAGCTGAATTATCATCTCAGCACACTTTACTTCAAATACTTAATCTGTAACTGCTTCAAGTGCAGTCATTTAATTACCAAAAAAACCCCAGCTTGAATAGTAGCCTTACTTAATGTAAATAATGTTAATTGGTTATAGTAAATGTAGTTCTAAATTTAGGTCATGGATTGTGCAATGTCATAACTAGACTACTTTTTAAAAGGGGGAATAATTATAATGTAAAAACCATGGTAAAAACATATTTAGATTTAATGAATGCCCTTGATTTAGAAAAAGAAATAAAAAGATAGTCAAAACCCCGATTGCACCAAGAGGCTTAATTTCCCTAAGGAGTCACATCTGGGACCCCCCACAAATCACCTCCCTGTGAAGCCAACATCCCCAGTTCCCTGGCCTGAGCACTGCTTTAAAGTGTTTAAAGTGTTGACTTATTTGCAGTCTCTTGCTCAGAGCAACATATTATTCCATTTCAACCAAGCATGCAGTAATTGCTAAATCTTCAACTTTAGGGAAAAGTTCAGAAAGTGACAGATATTTTTCAAGAAACCGATATTAGTTTTACTGCCATCATTTAGGTACTCCACATGGCGCTTCATATTTCTTATGCCACAAATCACCTCCCTGTGAACCCAACATCCCCAGTTCCCTGGCCTGAGCACTGCTGTGGCAGTCCTGTGCTCTCCTCCATCCCCAGCCTGACCCTGCAACCTGTGGGGCTGCACTCTTGTTTGAACGGGCACTCCATGGTCTGTTCTCTGGTCACCCTCCACTTCTGCCTCCTCCTTCCTCATGAGCAGCCACTCTGTGATGATCCCTGACTGAAAAGTTAATATCTATGATATTTTTTTCCTTTAAAGCTAATTAATTTTTACTTGCTGAAACAGTTAGAAAAGTCTTAATCTCCTGCAAGAATCAGATCTGGTTTTCTGATGAATGTTGCAGGCTTTAAAATGTGGGATACCAAATCTGAAGAAGGAAAACTGCATTCATGTTCTCACTGGTGTCACCACCACTTGCAAAGTCGCTGGAGTCATTGGCACTCTTTAGACCATCCCAGTTTTTGTGCTGCAAGTGTAATACTGCACCCTGCTGGAGGCGCATTTCAGATCACAGCTTGGGTAATCTGCGAGTGTGCAGAAGTACTCAAAAAAGTAACATTGCCTGAGCCTCGTTTATAATTTTATCTGCTAAATAAATATTTGCATTGGTAAGAGTCTAGTCCCATGCTCTAAATGACCTAAAAAAATTAATTCAAACACTGTTCTCATATATGCACACTTGCCAGCCTCCCTCTGCTTATGTTCTTGAAATTTTAGCATCCATTTATAGCGTATACATACACTGCAGTATAAACCCTTCCAACTTTTACTCTGTCCCCTTTTATGTCTCTCAGGGAATATAAGGCTGTAGATCTTCATCTCTACAAACTCAGAACATCAGTTCTGTCTCCTCATGAAGTAGAAGAAAGCACATCTTGCCATTAGGATGGTATTCTCGGGAAATGCCTTATTATCTCGTCCAGCTCTGAAACACAGCTCGACCACTTCCATTAGTTGCATAAGAAAGTAACAATGGCTGTAATGGATCACCTTTCTCATTATAGGGCAAGATGAGAGTCCTTCAGATAAGGAGTGGCCAAATTACAGGGTTTCTTTGACAAAGATAAAGACATTATAAACTATTCTTGGGTATGCACAGATAGTCATTTCAGTGAACAGGCCACAGGAGTCACACTGCAATGTTGTAATTTTTAATATATTTGTAACAATCATGTAAACATAGACAATACTGTGATATGGGGCAATATTTTGTGTTCATTCAGCCCAGCCTCCTCTTCTAAAAGTGTTTCTGCTGCAGCTAAATATTTAGTGCAGTAATACTTCTTTTACATTAATGTTGTAAAGGATAAACCACAAAATTCTAATTGACTATAATTAATATTTGTACATGTATATTTGAATAGCAAAAACTGTCTTTGTTGTATGCCTTGCTATGTTTAAGTTAAATTCAGTAGCACCGAGTTTCCACAAAAAAAGCCAAACACACAAACCCACATTATTTTTAATCTTAGGGCATCTTCTTTCCAAATGTATTATTTGAAAATCAGGACAGTTGCACATTTCATTTAGTTGTGTTTTCAGGAAAAATATAGAGGAAGGAGTCAGAAAGACAGCTTTAGCATGACTCCATCCAGTAACTGAGCAATCAATGGCACAAGTCAAAGGTTGTTTTATTTGCCTTTAAAGTCAATGAAGGAATGAAACTACTATAAAAGTATCCAGAGTTGAGAAGTCAAATATTTATTAATAGTGAAGGAAAGATTGAGCTGATAAGAGGGCTTCCAACAGCATTTTAGGTTCCTCTTTCAAATAAAATACAGTCAATATACTCCATCAGAGCAGTCCTCAGTTTATTAGATTCCTCTACTTAGTTCTTTGCAGAGTTCAATTTGTCTTACTGGTTTGTGTTGCAGTACTAAGGGCAGAATCTTCTAGATCTACGTATAGTGATGACTGTTCTTCCATTTCAGAAGGGTAATTTGTAGTAGAATAAATAGATAGTATTAAGTTATTTTTATCTCAAACTACCACAGTTCAGACCTGGACTCTAAAAATTGTTGCAATCTGTCTTGTCCAATGTCTATTTATAATACTGAAATTAATGTGTACTTGGTGGTGTAACATTGAGAGCAATGGTTAAGGTAAAAAACTTTAAACACTTTACAGTGGGGTCTTTTTTGCCTGTTCAGAGATGCTGACAGCAAGGTGATGCAAAGCGAGAATATAGCTGTTTTTCTTCCAAAAATTCTGTTAGTTACAGATTCATCCTTAAAGAAAACCAAACCCCCTACAGTTTATTTTGCAGTGCAATTTAGAAATATGCTGTTAGGAATGAATGGGCTAGAAGTGCTCTCAAGGCTGAAGCTGTCTTATGTGCTGAGAACTGGGAGAGTTAGATCTTGCTGCCTAGTGCTGAGCGTAGAAAATTTCGTTGATTGTCCTGTGACCATCAACACTGAACAAGGCTTAAACA